AGCGTTTGGATTGTTGTATTGTCATTTTCGTTTGTTTCCATATAGAAAATACATTTATTTATAGCACCGTACTGTTTATTGAAAAATAATCTGTGTGAAAGTGGACCTATGTGGTTCAAACTCATGTTGTCCAAGGGTCAGCTGTACAGTCTATTGGTCAGTGCTTATACAGCTTCAGGGTTATAGTTTGTGTTGGGATACAGAGTAGGATTAGTCATGGTCCCTGTCTGAGCAGTGACAGTGTGGTAACTGCGACGAGGGAACATGTGACATGACCCAGAGAATAACTGCCCTTCCTAAGTGTGTTAGGGAACATTTTATAGGGGAAATATATTTGTGCTCAAAAAGAGTTGGAGTCTTCATGAGGAGCTGGAGGAAAGGGGCATGGAGTAGTGGAGAACTCGTAGTAGTGAGTATTGCCATGGTTTTGGGTCTGAGACCCAAGCAGTGGGAAACGAGGCTGAAGAGCTAGTCAGGATACAGACCAGGAGTGATCGAGGACTTTGCTCAGTGGCTTTGCTCCGTGCCATCTCTGCACAGGGTGGAGTGAATGGGAGACTGGTGGCCCTCAGATCAGTTAAGAGGCTCAAGCTAAGTAGATAGTTCTCAAATTTTCAAGTAGCTGTATTCAGGCTGTCAGTCCCCTATTGAATCAGAATCTCCAGTGTGGAGGCTGGGCCTTTGAAAGTTTTCCCAGGCTCTGTGGGTGAGTCTGAAGGCCACTGGAGTTTGAAAACCACGGTTTAGGTGAATGATGAGGCAGTAAGAGAGGAGGGCCTTAATTAAGAGGTATTAGGAAGCGAGATGGTGACCCTTCAAGAAAAATTGAAGTTAATGAGACATTTATCCCAGAGGCTAAATATTTTTAGCTTCCAAAAAAATTATACTTTTCCCATCATTATTTTTAAAAAACGGAATTTGTAATAAAATTTTTTTAAAAAACGGAATTTGTAATAAAATAGTATGGGATTATATTGATTTTGAGGAACATTTAATGATATAGAAAAATAATCGATTTGTATTGATAAGTGAAAAAATTCAAATTGAAAATGACAATACGGTGTGATCCAAGTTCTATGAAAAAGAAGCAGTCACAAAAAAAAATATGCTAAGTAACCGTTAATTCAAAGTACATAACAGGGCACCTGGGTGACTCAGTCAGCTGAGTGTCTGACTTTTGATTTCGGCTCAGGTCATGATCCCAGGGTTGTCAGATCAAGCTCTGCATTGGGCTCTGTGCTGAGCATGGAGCCTGCTTAAGATTCTCTCTCTCTTTCTCTGCCCCTCTCCCCTGCTTGTGCTCTTTCTAAAAAAATAAAAAATAAAAAACTAACAAAACAAGTTACAAATTATTTAGAGCTAAAAAGTAGTGACAATGTCACATACTAAAATCACATGATATAAAGTTTAGGTAGAGGGTAAAGTGTAGTTTTAAATGTACTTTTCTTCTTAAAATGAAACTGTATTATTTGAATTTTCTGTTTCATTTATGAATCGCTAATTAACAAAGTCCCTGACATTCAGTGTCTTAAGAATGTTCCAGCTTCATCTTAGGTTAACTGGAGAGAGTGCTGCTCCTATCTCTTCAATAGAAAATGGCAGGTAATCTGCATAATCAATTGGTTTTCATCACAGAGCTGAGGTCCCAAGGCACCAAAATAACCCCAAATACAAGAAATGCAAACATCTTCAAGGAGACACTGGTTACAAGTACTTCTTACTTGGGGTAGATAATGGGCATGATACAAGCTCTGTAAGGGATGAGAGTGTTGGAGGGTTCTGGTTTGAGTAACTTCAAACACGACATTTATGACATTATGTCAGTTACCTGCATGGCAGCACAGAGTAGGAGATCTGTGGAGAAAAGATAGGAAGTGAAGTTATAGATACAAAGCCAACTTCCTCTCAAATACCCATTTTTATACCCATTAATTTTGAAAGATTATGGTTCTGTCCATTCAAATATTGCTGATAATAGTGAACTACTTCCATTATTTAATCTTTATTCCTTTCAGAGGACATATTTAACTCATATTTGTTAGCCACTAAGATTTGTTGCATACCTACTACCTACTGTGATGACTTTGGGGCCGAATGTTATTATCATTTTGCAGATGCTAAAACTGAAGTTCAGACAGGTTAGTTGATTTCCCTAAAGCCATCTTAGTCAGGAGCCAGGTAGAGCCAGGATTCAAAACTCCTGACTTTGCCCATTCCAGTTCACTAAGTAAACATCTGCCTCTCATAGTATGGATAGGCAGGATTTTTTTTCTCTTGTTATTTATGAACTTGGAGTCCAGAGCAAGTGTGATTTGCCCAAGATCTTGGGCTGATATGTATAGAGCAGGGACCAGAGCCCAGGTTGCTGCTTCCTGGCCACTTCTCTTTTCACTCTAACTTCTTGATTTCTAAATGATTGAGTTTATTTTCCTACTTGTTTTATGTATAGTTGGACCCTTCTCCTTCAAAGAGGAAGAGTTTAGGGAATTATAAATATAATTTGTTTTAAAAGTAGGTTCCATGCCCAGTGCAGGGCTTGAACTCATGACCCTGAATCATGACCCAAGAGTCAGACACTCCACCAGCTGAGCTACCCAGGTACCTCTGAATATCATTTTGAAGGGAAGAAATATTGTTTGAGAAGCAAAGCCAAACCTTTAAAGTTCATTTGCTTTGGGGCGGCATGTAATGGTACATTTCCAGCCTGTGTGTGAATTTTTTTTTTTTTTTTTTTTTTTTTTTTTTTTTTGATTAGGAACCTGACCTTAATGATGATGATAAAAATATGGAAATAACTCCAGGAGAAAAGGTACTTCGGAACACCAAAGAGCAACGGGATCAGCAAAACCGGCTGAGAGAGATAGATGACAAACTGAGAAAGATGAAGGAAAATGTGGTAAGTCTTCTTTATTTAAAGTTTAACTGTAACCAATGATTGTATTTAAAAAAGCCTCCAGTTTCCTTTGACTGTTTATGACTGGTTTTATGTGTTACGTCCATCGAGGAAACTGACATGGGAATATGTCAGTAAGAATTTGAATAAAAGCTAAAAATATGATTCGTAGAACTTAAAGTAATATTATACTTACTTTATGTGATATAATAAATCTGTGAAATCCTATCTGAAGTCAGAATGATGATCCATATGCCTAATATTCTGTGCCTGACAGTGACATAAATTTTTTTTAATGGAAAAATCTGGTAGTTATTCTCCACAAAATCATCTCTATATATCGAACTTATGCCTTAAGTAGTCCCACTTTTTGTTCATAATTCATAATATATTATTACTCAGTTTTAATTCATTCTAAATCCTTCGTGTGCCTATTTCATGTTTTAATTGATTGTCATTGAAAGACATACCACTGCGGGTGAGAGAAAGCTCTTAAATTAGCATAATTGTGAGTTGGTTGATATTCTGAACCCATAGAAATGCTCCATAATATTCTGATTTTGCAGCTACCTGTAGTATGCTTCCACCTGGATACTTGCTTTTACCTAAAATTAAACATGACAAGGCTAAACTTGTGATTCCACCTACATCCTCTCTCCCAGGGCTGGTCTTGTCCTAATTGCCAGCAGTACCTACTTTCTGTCTCCTACTAAATCCTGTTATCTTGGGTGATCTTCAAGCCTCATTAAGTTTTAACCAGTATGTCTAATTTGCTGTCATATCTTGCCGCAGTTCTTTATGACTCTTTGGAATCTTCTCTTTTTTTTTTGTCCTTTCTTGTATCACCCTTCTGTCAGCACTGTCCCCTCCTGTCTAGCCGCTTAACCCTGGTCAGTCTCTTCTCTTATTATTTTATTTTATATGCTGTTCCATGGGAGTGAGCGTCAGGTAAGTGATTTTGATTCCATTCTGATCTCCTTAGAGCTCTCCAAGAGTGTGGCCCGGTCCTGACTGAGATTCTTCACCCCTAATGACCGTGTCCTGCTGAATTGCTCTTAACCTTTTGCCAGCCATGGACAGCTTCACTGACTCTCAGCCTAAAGGACAGCTAGGTCTACCTAATGAGAGTCAGGCAACAGATCTAAGGGGAATACATGCATTGTGCTTCTCTTTAGAATTCATTTTTGTTTACTCTTCATGGGAAATTAAATGGGAATTATGTTTCAGGGAGACCTTCATTTTTATTTTCTGAGGGTTTTTTTTTTTTTTCTCCTTGAATCTATTGATACGGGGAGGAAGTGGAAGAGGTAAGAATGGTTAGGGAGTGTAAAGAGGCTCTTGGCCAATAGTTGTGGTGGTAGTGATAGGGCATTGCAAACCGGATGCGGTAAGTAAAATGTTTGTGGTTTGACTCATTTTGAAAATGGTTGGCACTTCTCACCCCATGCCTGCCAATCCATAGCAGGCAAAGCCTGTCATTCTCCCTAATTCAGTTCTCCTGATTTCTCACCATTTGTCTTATGCCTTGGACTTGTATCCATTATTTTCTACCACGTCTCTATTATTATTTAATTTTTGACTCAAAACCTGGGTCCTTTAGGAAATCTTGTATATTTTTCCAGTGTCATATGAAGGTTGGATAGATTTACAGAAGTATGATCAATACTAAGAGTTAGTCATTATCTAAGTGGAAAAGAATCATATGTAAGTAGAGAAGAACAACGACTGTGGGCCTACAGTGGCAGGCACCGTTCCAAGTACTTTGTAACTTATTAACTTACCTAGTCTTTATAACCACTCTGTGAGGTAAACACTACTATCCTCGTTTTCCAGACAAGGAAATAGAGACGTGGAGAGGTTGAGTAACTTCCTCAAGCATATGTAGCTACTGAGGAAGAGACAGGATTGAAATGATTAACTTTCAACTTTATTGTTTTACAGTCAACACTTTGAGAAACTTGTGTGATAAAGGCATATGAGTGTTGGCATATGAGTCTTTATGTTTTGACTGCTTAGAGTTTCACAATATCCTATGGATCACGTTGTGTACCACATGTGTGTCCTTTTCAGGGAACATACTATGTCTGTTTAAAACTCTGTGGGGGCGCCTGGGTGGCTCAGTTGGCTAAGCGTCCGACTTCGGCTCAGGTCACGATCTCACAGCCCGTGAGTTCGAGCCCCGCGTCAGGCTCTGGGCTGATGGCTCAGAGCCTGGAGCCTGCTTCCGATTCTGTGTCTCTCTCTCTCTCTGCCCCTCCCCCGTTCATGCTCTGTCTCTCTCTGTCTCAAAAATAAATAAACGTTAAAAAAAAAAAAATTTAAAAAAAAACTCTGTGAAGCTCATTGCACCTCATAGACTTCTGGGTACTTTGTGGATTGGGAATCTGGAGACCTGACTCCTTGTTTCAGAGTTGTCAGGGGCCTACTCCGTCACCTTGAAGAAGTCACTTAGTCTCTTGAAGACTTGGTTTTCTTACTTTAAAATCAAGAGAGTAGGGCTAGATGACCTTCTGCCTGTGAATGTTGGCATATTTGGGGTAAGAAATGATGTCATTTATAACATGTAAAGCTTAGTGTGTGTGCTTCCTGATTGTTCAGTAGTAATTGGTTTAAATATTCTATTGAAAGTTACTTTTGGAAGTTTAGTAACACTTTTTGGGAGAATGTGAGATTGTCTTTCATATGTATAAAAAAAGTTAGCTTGCTACCTATAGAGCAAAGAATATGTTGTCTGTATGATAGCTTCCGGAAACGGCTAATTTTACAGTTTTGTCTTCTTCTTCCTATTACAAGAGAACATTGTTTCAGGATCACTGATTTGGGTGAAAGCAGTAATCTGTGGACATTGAATTGGTGATTTATGGGTAAAGGCCATATTCGATTTTAGGGATGAACTGGGAAAAGAGTGAGGAAAAGGGCAATGTGGAGCCCTGGGGGTAGTCCTGGAACCACCTGAATCCTAGGTTTGATCTGTCAGCAAGGGCTGGAAAAATGACTTAATTCCGTGTTTCAGGTGGTAGGCTGAGGCTGCAAATGCACATTCGCTTCGGTCAAGCTTAGTCGAGGCAGTGGGATTTGGCTAAGCCTGAAGGTGGTAGTAGTTGTATTGGTGTCACTGGATCTTGCTATTAGGAGCTGTTAGGAGCGAGGAAAAGTAGGCACGATGACATGGCAGATGGGGATTGTGCTGAGCCACTTACTTCTCGCCTGGTGGGCTCCAGTGGGGTTGGGAGTATTGGCTTCGACCATGGATGAGAGTTCCTCTGTCAAGCTGACTCCTTGTATGGAGATGATTTGAGATGATAGCATCAAGAGAAAATGAAAATAGCTATATTCGTAGAACAGGCCATACAAGACAGATCCCACAGACAACCTCTCCGTCATTTGCATACAGTGGTATGTGGTACCTGTCCCCTGATTTTCCCACTAGCTCAGAGAGTCACTCTGTGTTCTTTTAGGTACCATACGGGCTTCTTTGCCCATTGACTCTTTCCAACCCAGTCTGCTCTATATTACCTCCCTGCATTGTAGTTTTGTTATGTAAGCTTCTATACATGGGACATAGTGGTTAAGAGCCATACACTGGAGCAGCCTGCTTGGGTTTGGATCTCAACTCTGTACTTAGTAGCTGTGTGACCTTGGACAGGTATTTTGACCTCTCTGTGCTTTAGTTCTTTGATCTGTAGAATGGGATAGTTATCCCCTTTATAGGTTGTTATGAAGATTAAATTAGTTAGCATGTATATAAAGTGCTCCGAACAGGGCTTGGCACGTCTTAAGTGCTATCTAAATGTTTATTATTAGTATTGTTATTTTTATTATTAACATTATTAAGATGGCATTTACATATGCTTGTTTCTATGATAACAAAGGGAAGGATATAGCAGAGAGGATGAAATTGAAGATGGAGGTAAGCCTTAGAATCAAGGGGCGCCTGGGTGGCTCAGTCGGGTAAGTGTCCAACTTCAGCTCAGGTGACGATCTCGCAGTTTGTGAGTTCGAGCCCCACATCAGGCTCTGTGCTGACAGCTCAGAGCCTGAAGCCTGCTTCGGATTCTGTGTCTCCCTCTTTCTTTGCCCCTCCCCACTCACTTTATCTCTCTCAAAAATAAACATTAAAAAAACTTTAAAAAAAAGAAAAAATAAAAATTAAAAAAAATTTGTTTGAATTCCAATGCAGTTAATATACAGTGTTATATTAGTTTCAGGTGTACAATATAGTGATTCAGCACTTCCATACGCCACCCAGAGCGCATCACGACAAGTGCACTCCTTAACCGCCATCACCTATTTCACCCATCTCCCTACCTACCTCCCCGCTGGTAGCTGTCAGTTTGTTCTCTATAGTTAAGAGTCTGTTTCCTGGTTTGTCTCTCTTTTCAATCCTTTGCTTATTTGTTTTGCTTATTTGTTTTGTTTCTTAACTTGTTTTGTTCACATGTGAGTGAAGTCATATGGTACTTGGCTTTCTGGGACTGATTTATCTTGCTTAGCATTATATTCTCTGGCTCCACCCGTATTGTTGAAAATGGCAAAATTTCGTTCTTTTTTTTTTATGGCCCAATAATGCTCCATTGTGTCTATATATATATACACCACATCTTCTTTATCCATTCTTCTATCGATGGATACTTGGACTTCTTCCATAATTTGGCTATAAGCATAGGGGTGTATATCCCTTTGAACTAGTGTTTTTTTAAAAAATATTTTTATTTTATTTTTGAGAGACAGAGGGAGCGCGTGAGCAAGTGGGGGAGGAGTAGAGAGAGAGGAAAACACAGAATCCGAAGCAGCCTCCAGGCTCTGAGCTGTCAGCACAGAGCCTGATGTGGGGCTCAAACTCACAAACTGTGAGATAATGACCTGAGCTAAAGTCGGACACTTAACTGAATGAGCCACCAGACACCCCTGAACTAGTGTTATCTATTTTCTGGGTAAATATTCAGTTTTTGGAAACTTTTTAAACTGGTTCTTTTTCCCACGAAAAGCAGTTTGTCAATTTT